GTGACAAACAAATTGTAATGATAGCTTTTTTTGTCAACAAACATCGAAGAAAAACATTTTTTAAATCGATGGTAGTGAAACACATGAGCATTATGTACTTTATATGATAAATCTTCTATTAACCCCTTCTAGGTCAGAATCGCATCTCATACGTTCGGCGTTTTTGTACCCATAAGGTCGGCATTGCTTGCTGCAACAAAGTGAGCAAAAATCCATTGCTGAAGCTGAATTTGGTGCTACTCATACATCACTTTAAATTCAACAATTATTTTTGTTTCTGAATATTGCTAAAAGATAGCGCAACTAGTCCTAGTTTCTTCACAATTTTCGCAGTGAGATTTCCTGCCTTGAATATCTGTTATTGAAGATTCACGTGATATCTGTTAGAATTTCAACTAAAAACCATTCAAAATATTTTTTATATTCATAGAAAAATTTTTTTGATAAGGTAAGCTTTTTTTTTTTTTTTTTTTTTTTTTGATTAAATAAATGATTTTTGTTTTGTGATAAATGTGGTTTTTGTGCTCTGATGTCCAAAGCAGGTTGTAAAGTTGTTTTAATGGTAAGGTTAGAAAACCATTTTCTAAAGCATTTTTTACATAATTGTAATAATTATACTTATGTAGATATTTATATTAAACACATCAAAACAATAGAGTTAATAAATATAATATCACATTTTTTGTTTGTTTTTATTTAGAACTTGGGTGCATTGCAAGGAAAATTGGTGATCAGTCGACAGGATATCACATATTTGACCATCCAAAAACTGCTTACTGTCAAAAATATTTTGCATTTTCAAATTTAGGTTAGAACATATATTAATTTTCAGCAATAAAATGAAATGTTTTTTTGTGGGTGACAAATTCAAAAACAAATCCGACCAAGAAGGGGTTTAATGGTAAAGGATACTGATCTTTAATTATCTTTTTGTTTAATTTGTGATAGTATATACCTACTGTAGAGCTACTATCTTTCTTTTTACTACTGCAACTTGACTAGAATATTCGGAAGAACATGGTTCAGTTTTGCCCTCAGCTAACCGTGTGTGTACTTGTTTATCCTCAATGTCTGTTTTGACAATAGGCAATCATCTGTGTCTGTGAAAAATAAGTGTTTAATCTTTCACTTTAGCTCATTATTCATAGTTTTGTTTTTGACTGGTTTGTAATCGGAGACGAGATTTTCAATGAACGTAACTTGTTCTTTTGTAGCAATAGGTCCTCTTTCTAATTCAAATGTTTGACTAAAGAAAATATTATTGATACACACATTTTCCGGATCAATCTGTTTAACAATATGTTTAGAAATAGGAATACCATCTTTGTTAATTTGAATTCACTATGCTTAAAAATATCCATTACAGTTATAGGGTCATGTCATATTTTATTACTATGCCATAAATATTAAAGGAAATAACTCCATATCTATTAAAATGTCACTTGTAAAATAACCTATTGGTTTAAACTTTTCATTACTAAAGTTAGTCAACATATTATGAAATACATTTAAAGAAAGATTTACTGTTTGTTATAAACATTGTTACTGATGACTGTAGCTTCACTTCCTGTGTTAACCAGAGCTTAAGTGATATATCATTAATTTTGATTACTTTATGGATTCAGTTTGTTATGTTAAATTGGACTGATGTGACAGTGTCCCTTTTTCAGATATTGCAATATTATTATCCACCCCCATCCCCAATGTTTTGCTTCGAAGTATTTTTAGCACATGTGATAAGATTTACGACTTAAATTTCCAGAAGATAAACATACAGTTCCAGGAAGGATGTTTGTCTGGACAAAATTTAGATAAATGACCAAATCCATTAAATTTGGATGTCTGGTAATAATTTGAATTTGTTGAGAAACTTTTTCTGTCATGCGAAGCTAAAAATGTTGGTTCTTGACATTCAATACATCATATTTTGAATTTGTGTTTCTCTTAAAATCTAAAACAGTATTTTTTGGTAGTAAATTTAAGGCAATTGAAATCAAAAATGGACCATAGGATTTTGAATCCTCTTGCATTGAATCTAAATTTCATATAGTTATATCAAGCTCGTCAAATAACTTTCTCTATGCTGGAACATTTGAAGACTTTTTAATAATTTGTAAGTTTAAAATTTTATTCATGAATAAATCAATGATAGCTTTTTGACCAAAACAATCTTTGAGTAACTATACACAGTTATCAGAATTTTTATCATTTAATTAGAAACCAGATATTAAATTTAATGCTCTTCAAGTATGTTTTTAAATAAGCAGATTTTTCAATTTTTGAAAGAAAATCATTACGATTGATAGTGTTTACAACTAAATTCTCAAATTTGTTCCAATATTTCAGGCTTCTGAATATGGTTTGATTATTAACTTCAGAAGTTTAATTGAAGAGGGTAGATTTATGTTAACATATGAAGTGTTTTAATATTGTTTCAGATTAAGGTGCAATAACATGCCGAACAAGTATTAATTTAGAAGTCGGACAACAAAAATCAGCATTATATTTTTAAATTTTCACAGGACTAGTTTCGATGGTTTTAGCTGAGGATGATAGTTTGGTAAAACCATCGAAAATAGTCCTGTGAAAATTTGAAAATATAATGCTGAGTTTTGTTGTTTGACTTCTAAATTGTTTCAGATGTTGACGAGTTAAACTAAGATATCACATGTAACATTTTCGTCTATTAAGGCAATATCAATTCTTGAAACTAGTTTAATAATATTTGGTTTTTGACAGTTTGTTTTCATTTCAGTGTTTCATTGAGTCAAAATTTTCATCAGAAGCCATGTTTTATATTTTTAAAGAATGTTGCACTCAAAGTGAAAGTTACGAAAGAAAAACGTTCACATGTATTTAAAAAAAAAAAAAAACAGTTGAGCATTACTAATCCATTACCATTGATAATAGAAACGCTATGCTAAGCACAATCCATAAAATCGAAACATTGATATACAGAACAAGAACTTTTATAGTTCTGACTCAAAATATAGAAAAACATCAGTAATAAGCATCAAGTTATTACTAAACTGTGATTTATTTACATGAATTAAAAATGATAAGAAAAAAGAATAATTATTATGCATCTGCATTCTCATCTGCGCACTCATCTAGATGATGCTTTAGCATTACATCATACAGTTACAGTTGCTTGGCCATTTTCCACAAATATGCTGAGGAACACTATATGTTATCAAATAAAATTATTGTACTGCATTTCATACATGGGGCTATTTTTTATACACCATTTTATACTATAGAGTCTCTGGGTATTCTTTTTTAGCATACAACTTGGACTCTAAGTTGAAGACAAAGTAGCAAATTCTTGCTGTGTTTGGAGAGTAAGTACTGCAAACAAAGGTTTTATATAATCTTGTATTTTAACTAAAAATGAACAGATGCATGCACTTGGTGCTCACAATTCACCACCACTTGTGGCTACTAAATTAACAGAAAATAAGAATGTAAAATGCACATTAACTTAAGATAACTAATGACTGACTCTTAGGTTAACGAATGCTAAATCGGCCACATGGAACAAAACCAAGCCGAAAACTATCAGTATAAACTGAATGGTGTCAGACACGAACTAGAGAGCTAGTTTCGAACTCGCAGCATAAACATTGGAACTAAGTTCATTACCACATATCTTGAACTCTTGACACGCAGCTTAAATACTGCTTCTGAAACATGTTTAAATTTGAATACTATGTCATTACAAAATTTACATTCTGGCAGAAAACAGAAATCGGGAGAGACAGGAAAGTCAAGCTAAAAATAATTTAGATTAAAATAAATCATTACAGTACAATTATCAGTACGTTACGAATTCAAAATATTTCACTGGGATTTAAACCTGAATATATATAATAACTGTAAAAAATATGCAATGAAGCACAGTTCTTTAGACTGTATATATTGTAATGTCTTAAGCTATTTTATCAACCACCACGAAGTTCTGAAGAAAAGAATGGCCGCCTCGAAAGTTCCCACGGACAGAGTATTTCTTAGTGAATTCTCGGAAAGAGGAAGTGATCAGCAGCCACAAAACAATCTCAACTTTTTTGTTGCTCTTATAGTTGTTCGAAAGGAGACATTGTTCAGTTCCCTTTCATCAGTTTATAGGTTCACTGTCTCAGACCACCCGGTTTGAGACCCCAGTTGGAATCAAAAAGTTCTCACGGACTTTTTCGCAGTCTGTCTTCATCATATCTAGTTTTTAATCAAAGTGCTCTCGCCAATCAAGAAGCGCTTCTAAAAATTACGGACAAATAAGGATCCTAGAAGTTTTTCCGACACGCCCAAATTTGGAAAAACTTGAACAAAAAGACAACTTGAACAAAATCATGGAACGCAGTTCCAGAGAGGGAAAGCGAGTGAGAGTTAGTTGCAGTAAGTAGAGAGAGCAACCTTCTCTCGGTTAAGCTCAGCCACGAGCAAATTTTTGCTTTGCTCTGCATAGAGTGATATTAATGTCTCTGCCAAGAGATTTACAGCAAGGTAGCCGGGTTCGCCGCTACCTTACGAAGAGCATCCTGCTCAGTCCAGCAACCACTGGTTTATAGAGTCGAAGTCTTATTTTGAACCAACCCTCAGCTTGAACTATTATCCAAACAAGAACTTTCATCTTGGCTGAGTTTTAAACAGGAACTATATTCTCCCATCTGGAAGTTATATTTCTATTCCCCCTCACCCTACTGTGAGAACAATATTTTATAAGTTTTTTTATTTTTTTGAATATAGCCTAGAAAGAACCCAAATAAATTTATTTATGCTACCTCTTGTCTTTCCAATTCGTCACAATATATATGTACTGTTACCTGTTGAATGAAAATCAGAAAAGTAAGGTAGTAAGATATATTCTAATTTTGTAGTGTAATCTAAATATGTATCTACTTTTTAAACTTGTGCATAAGTATAATCAATAGTGTGTACTCTTTTGTTTAAAATTTGTTTTATTGATGTTCTTTAAATTTGCACCTTTATAATTTATTTTTCAGAATTTTGAAAGAACATACTATAAAAAGTGAGGATTATTATGAAGTTTTGTGGAGAGAGAGTGGTAAATATTTTTATGATATTTTTTCCTGTGTTTGTATTAGTTATAAAGAAAATATACTAAAAGGTACTTTCTTTTTTTCATTTAAACTGTTTAAGTGTGTTATTTCTTAAAATTAAAAGAAAAAAATTTAATAAAATAAGTTATTTTAATAATTATTTCAAGAAAAATGCATTTAATCTGAAATTTGAGCAAAGGAAAGGTAGGGCTTTTATGTAATTCTGTTGTATGCATTTCACTTTTTTAATATAAAAAATCAAAAACTAAAGGTATATACATATTAGCGCAGCCACCTTAATAGAAGTCTTCATGTTTCCAGAATGTGCTGAATCCTGACAACTGCGTGCATATTCATAAGTACAGTGGAACCTCGAAATACGAGTTTAATTCATACCAGCACTGAGCTCATATAATGAATTTCTCATATCTAGAAACAAACTTCCCCACTGAAAATAATGGAAATCCAGTTAATTCATTCTGCAACCCAAAAAATATCAACATAAAAATCAATTTTTATAATAAATAACAGTAAATAATATAACCCTAGTTTACCTTTATGATAACTTCCTACAAATGATAGCTTCCGACACCAACCTTAACGTCTTTTCGTTAATTCACACCAACAACAGCTTCTCAAAAGCTTCTGGGAGTTTTGAGCGGTGCTTGGAAGTAACGGTAACTCCTTTGCCTACATCAAGTTTCTTAATTTCTTCCTTCTTCTTCAGAATAGTGCAGATTGTTGATGTCGAAAGGCCGTAACTCTTTGCCAATTCCGTCACTCTTGCAACACACTTTTGTTTATCTATGATTTCTTTCTTAATTTCAACGACCATGGCTTCCTTATTTTTCTTTGCGGCACTATCTGGGGCAATAATATGCCTGGGAATATTTCACCTCAAATGTAATAAATAATTAACTCTTAAGTGCACAAACACATAGATCAAAGAACCCTGAGTGATATGAGCAGGGGATTCCCCGAGTTGTGCAGATTGGGAAATGGCGCCGCACATATCAACAGCCTGGCTCATTGCTCGTTACTCGAGTCAATGCTTGTATTTAGAGACAAATTCTTTGCTCATACTTTCCTCGTATCTCAAATTTCTTGTATGTAGAGGTGCCCGTATCTCGAGGTTGCACTGGATTAAAATGCTTACATTCTGGTTGTTACTTTGCAAGTTTCATTGGTATTAATAAATACATCATAATATTTTTTGTCTTAAAAATCAGTTTAAAAAAATCTGCTTGTGGAATTTGCTTGTAATGGAAGAAATTGCAGTACAATTTCTGTAGAAATACTGTAATTTGCCGTAAAGTCATTAAAAGGAGCTATTGCCATACAATTTCTAATGAAACAACAGAAACTTAAAACGCTTTTGTAAGTAGGTTTCTTGACTGGTTTTACAGATAAATACATAATTTAAATATATGATATATAAATAATAAACATGCACTTATATATGTATTAAATTTTTTAATCATTATTCTTTTTCTCATAAAATAATCACCAGACTGGGCCAAGATAGTTGCATTAATGAGTAAATATCCTAGAAAAATGCAAAGATGCAAATTTATGCCTTTTGCATATTGCAATAATTTGATAAATCTCAAATTTGAATTCAATTTTTCAATCATTAAAATATAAAAACATCTTCTTACTTTATTGGCGTAAGTAGACAGTAAACTTTTAATACCAAAAATTAAAATGTAAAAATTCAATAAATACACTGTGTAGTAACGGATTCCATATCCTTAAGCTGAATATGGGAATAAGGAGTAAATGCAGCTACCATTGGTGCTGTGTAGTATTTTTTAGTATTTTCTAGAGGTTTAACCTGAGCCATAGCTGTAGTTTTCAGCACCCGGGAACAAGTGCAGATTTTGCATCCTTAATTGTCAAGAATGGAAAATATTTCATTCTAAAATTTCGACCCAATAGCGGCCGAGCAGTAAAGTCACTGAACACTGGTAGTTCGGTCCGAGGTTCGAATTCCACAAACGAGCTAGCTGCATGGGTGTTTTCGTGGTTTTCCCCATGTGTAACGTATATACGAACCAGTTTCCCTTAGAAAGTCCTCCACGAAGGCATACCTCCCCTTAGGCAGATAGCCCTAGTGTGCTTTGCCATAATCTCAATAACCAAACCAAACCTAAAATTTCTTTACATCAGTTTGGCACCCACTGGTTACTGTGCTCAGGGATAGATTCCCTCCCTTGCTCTGCCCTAGTTATGACACCGGGTCTAATGTTCTTAAAAAATGCAGTAAGTTTGAGTTGAGTGTAATCTTGTATGATGTATAATTTTAGACTATTACACAAATGTGGTTGAGGCTTGAAATGTTTTTTAAATGATTCAAACATGTTTTAATTAGATCAATTTAATGATAAATAATCAATAATTTAGTTCTATAATTAGATAATATATATAATAATAAATAATCTATAATTAGATCAATTGATATGAGTTTTTACAATGCAAGGCTTATTATTAGAATTTTTAGACATTAACTCATGAACCTGTAAGTACGTAAGGGCCAGATTAAGACTTTAGAAAGCTCCAACTTCAACTTAAAAATTTAAGATTTTGGTCCCCCAATATACATACTGTTTTTCCTCCTATTTTTTATCCCTCAGCATTGGTTTAGCTGCATCACACATTCCATGGTAAAACTGACCATGAAAATTTTGATGATGCCTTTAGCATGTGCTTATTTTGCTTAATGCTTAATCCAGCTCTGGGGAGTGCTCTATGCAGTGTTCATCAAGGAAGCACATTGCTTATAACTGTGAGAAGTTTAAAAACAAATGCTTACAGATTCTGATCATAATTCTGAGTTGCTATGTACGAAAGAATTTTTTAGGGGGTAATAATTATGACCCAGACCGGTTCCACCATTGGCACTACAGGTGTGACAAATCACTCGGATCATTGCACTAGCAGTCGACTGCTGAGGTGGACTTAGTCCTTTAATGAGAGACTTGTATTTTCTTTAATGAAATAAATGATCACATATGCATACTTTCTCAGAAAGTCTTTACAGGCTTTCATTTTTCTGTCAGTCATAAATAAAGAATGTTTTTCTTTCAATTTGTGAAGCTATGAATGCCTAAAACCGGAAAACTCAGGTACTCTCAGATGTTTCTGAGAAGAAAGCAGACAAGTTCAATAAATGTTTTTAACACTGGCATGTGCAGTTATAAACACAAAGCAAGTATCCCACAGAAATTTCTTGATGAAAACTTCCTTTCCCAGTACCCTTATATGTTTTGCAATAATGTACTGCCTAGATAATAGAAGGAATGAACAGGAGCTCAAAATATTCATTAACACAGCACTCACAAAGAGTTCTGGAATAAAAAATATGTGAATGGTTTTCAGAGTTAAACAACAGAGATTTTAACATCAATACTGGATCAAGGAGAAGGCCTGACATTTGTGTTAAGAAAGCTGAGTTTGCAGAATTTCTGAAACCTGATTCTGTTAACTATAAAATGCCCCAGAGAAACTGCCTGAACTGCTGCTATGAGTCATTCTTTGGTGAAATTAGCAGAGTTAAAAACTCAAAAATTGTACAAAATATTGCTGTGCGTGCAAACAAAAAAGGAAAGATCTTTTATGACCGCTATAAGAATGGTTAAGTGTTATTACAAGTTCTTAAAAGTATCCTTCATTTAAAAGAATAGTTTTGACAAGCCTTTGTGCTTTTAAGAATATAATGCATGATAGTCATTTTATCACTTAGTGCTGAAAACTCTAAGCAATGATCAGCAGCTTCCTCTCAAATAGTCATCATTGGTGAAGGTGCTTAGTGCTTAATCATCCTGTTTCCTGCATGGCATATTGTTAAAAATCCTTTTGTTTTTTATGAAATAAGATTTTATTGGGCATATTTCTATATTTTTCCTATGCTGAAAACTTGAAGCAATGATCAGCAGCTTCCTCTCAAATAGTCATCATTGGCGAAGGTGCTTAATCATCCTGTTTCCTGCATGGCATATTGTTAAAAAATCCTTTTTTTTTTTTTTTTTCCTGAAATAAGATTTTATTGGACATATTTTTATATTTTTCCTTGCACTTTTAGAATAAGATTCATGACTTCCTCATTCAGAGCTGTTAATGATGAGTTTTTCTAGAATTAATACTTTTTTTAAATAGGTGCCAAAATTTGTAAAGTTGAAATGCCTGAAGAAATCATGAGCACTTATGAATTTACTGAAAGGTTTGCTAAAGCTTATCCTGAGATTGTTAGGACTTTTAAAGAAAAGTGTGAAGGTAAGCTATATGTGTGTGTGCTGTATATACAATATATACATGCTTTCTTCAAGTAGAAGTAATTTGATGTATTGCACTATTATCAAGCATTGGCCAGCTGATGTGGCCAAATCTCAAACATACCATTCATTGTAATTTTGGTCTTGTCAAGTTCTAAGTTTGGACAAAAGAAGTAAGTTAAAAGAAGAATATAACTTTTATCAAATGTTAAAGTTCAAGGTTAGAAATTATTTTTCCCAAGATGTATTTTACTAATGCTGTCATTAACACATACTCTATAAGCATCTCCATATGTAAAACAGAAGTAAAAAAAATAAATAATAATAAATTACTTCAAGCACTATTATTTGAAAATTTCCAAAGATGTAAAAATAGTATAAAAGGAATAAAAAAAATGCTCATCTTGGTTCTGCGATTCCTTTTTTGCTTTTATTTGGTAGTAATGTTTTAGTATATTTACTTTTTCATGATGCAATTGTTAAATGCTGTATTTTATCACTATTGCTATAATTAGCTATCATTAATGTATAACATAATATAACAATAGGGGCGCTTCCTTCTTATGAAAAGAAGGAAAAGAGTTTAGGCAATATTGCCCATTACTCTTCCGCCATTTGATCATTTAAATCAAGGGATTTAAATGGTAACTCCCGTAAAAGGTAAGTAATAAATAAATAGATAAGATTCCAAACTGACACCAAATCTATAGTATCAGCAAAAGATCCCATCTCTAAGTTCAAGGTGTCGGTTGGATCGTGAAAACTTCCCTATTGGATGAAAAACCGATTCAATCCCTCCCAAACCACCAAACGCAAATTCTTGACCAAACAAGAGTGCGAGAGTTAAATAAATAAAATCATTAATGTATAATTGGGAATATCTATGTGAAAATTTACTTAGGTTAAAAATACAAATAAATAAACTATATGATTATAAACATTTTCCCAAATATGTAAAAACTGCAGAAAACAGATAAAATAATGATGATTCCACCTTCCCCCCAACCACCACACACAATTTTTTTTTCCCCCATTTTGCTTGCTTGCAGAATTTTAACAATGCAATAGCGTGCATATTTGGTAACATGTAAAAATAACAAATGAATAATGTTATTTTTCACATCTTTGGAAAATATTAGTGTTATGTGTTTTTGTTTATTTGTTGTGACACAAGGAAATCGTCATAGGCGTTTATGATAAATTCATAAATAGTGATGGTGTTAATAATAAAGTATTGCTTTTAACAGTCATATCATAAAGTAATAAATATATGTTTCTCCAGTTATAAGTGAATAAAAGTGAAAAGTATATCAAATTGTATTAAGATCATCGTCCTCCCCCCCCCATATTATAGTATAATTGTTTAAACACATCTGAAAAAGTTGTGTTCTTTTTTTTTTTTTTTTTATTTTTGCTTTGCTGAGAATCTTCAGAGATAATTCTAATTATGTTGCTAATTATAAAATACAGTTTTAAAAAATAATATCACTGAATAACAAATATCCTTTTGTTTAGTAAGAAATCGCTAAAAGCTAAGTAAATCTGATTTTGAACTTTAGCTGTTTCTTTTAGCCCAGCCTTAAACTGTTCAGCCAGATCCTGAAATAATAGTAAATTGTTATACATTTCAGACTGTGCCCATACCAATTAAGCCAATGTAAAAGTAGTCAGATTTTGGGGTTTGGCTGTGAATGCATTTTTAAAAAGAGATCACTTTAATTGTAGTCGTATTGAATGAAAAACAAGAATATAAAAATATTAACAACAAAACGTTTTCACAGTTAGAGTGATATGGCAAGAAAATATATGAAGCTTACATAGTAATATGAAGAACATAACATCTGTCTTTAGACACAACAGAAAGGGACTGATTTACAAATAAAGGATGAACACATATGATGATTTAAAAAAAAAAAAACTGAAAGTAACATTGATCACATTAACATTGCTTTGCTATGACAAACTGATTCAGAAAAAATAATTATGTAGACAAATAGACTAATAGCTTTCATCAGCAGCCATTTGTGATCCATAAAATTGAGATTCAGTTTGTTGGTGGACACTGACCGTTATTGCAATAATGAGCATTTACCACATTCACAAGTAAACAGGCTTTCAGTGGAGTTTTAATGTATTTAATGCGAGTTTAAATAATAATGCATTGCATTGCCTATATTACCTTTCCAATACTGTACTTTTATAGTGATGTGGCAAGAAAGTATATGAAGTCTACAGGGTAATCTGAAGAACATATCATTTAATTATCTTTAGATACAAAGGGAATGCAAATTTCTAACAAGTGAAAAATTCCAGATCAAAGCATATATTTCCAATATTAGAAATACATATATGTGTTAGATATTTCAAAAACATTTTAATTTATTTTAAATAATTGCTTTATTATACTTTCCATATTAATGATGATAGCACAAATCAAATTCGATCCTCCTTCATAATTTTTCCAGCTTTTTATGAATTAGGAATTGTCTTGATATGAAGATGCATTCGTTTTTCCTTATCCTCTTAAAATTAATTTAATTTGGACTGCATCTGCACACCAATAGTTGTATTATTGAGAATTCATCTTTTTTAAATATATATATAATATTTCTTATTACAGGATAAAGATTTTTTTTGTTGTTGTTGATATTCTTATGCTCATCATGAGGAAGGGTATATAATTTATCTCTTCTTTTAAAATATGTGTAAATAATACTTTTTTGGTGCTTTGCATTATGTATTTAACACACATGCTGCTTTAAATTGATATAAAATTCCTCAAGTTACAAATTAAAGCAAGCAAAATACATTGCATTGTGTTAATTTGGTGTGCATTGATAATAATTAAATAAATAGTTCCAATATTTAAAATACTGCCCAGATGGTATAGTGGTTAGGGGAGCTGACTACGATGCTGAAGGGTGCAGGTTCGAATCCCAGAGAAGGCATGGTTGTAACTGTCCATCCCTTCATAGGAGGCAATGGTGGTCAATTATTAGGTGCCTTCACAATAAAATGGCCACCACTTCTGGCCTTAGGAGTGGCCAGTGTCAAGAAGGCAAGTACCTGCCATTGGGGGGAAGACATTCAAAGTCACAAATGAATGAAAAGTTGATTATATGCTTTTCTATTTCTCCTTAATAGCTTTGTGAGATTTAATTGTTTGAATACACACAGAACATCCTTTTTTATATATAAATTGCAAATCTCAAGTATACCGATATATGGAAATGTTTGAGAGTCTCAAAGCATTTGTATAGAATACTGACTAGTTAAAGCATTCCCAAAAGTTGACTCTGTGGGTATTATTCCCAGGTTCTTAATTGTGAAAGGGTTGAATTAATTTTACTACAAAATTTTATGAATAAAATGGATGTTTTGTTTATTACAAACTCTGCACAATTTAACTCATTTCATGTTATAACAAGACTTGTTAAATGTTAATAATTTTGATATTTTTAATATATATTGGGTAATCACTTGGAATTAAAGTTTAATTAAAAGTTCATTTTCTTTTACTAGAAACAAAATATTGTTATACAATGCATTGCATTTATGCATTTATAATTTTTTTTTTTTTTTTGTTTTGTTATTTAGATAGTTTAAAATAGTCTAGATATACACAACATTCTATTTTTATTGCACAGTTATTATGCTTTTTCTTGAATTTCCAAATTTTTGTAATTGATGTTAGACATAATCTATCATTATTTTTCATTCATTCAAAGCTAAATTCCAATAATCAGTGACTTAGGTAAAACACATAACAAGTTTGCTTTAATCATGTTTACGATATTAATCAGTATTTAGAGAAAATTCATAATGTATATTCCAAAATCATTCTTTGGTATTTAATAATCAAGTGCAAGTTACATTGTAGTTACTACTTATCCCTAACATTAATTTTATTATGCTGCATCATTACTGAAAAATGTATTTAATTTTTTCTTTTATTTATAGAAGAAAAAGAAAAGAAGAAAGAAAAATCCAAAACTAAAAGAGTAGTCTCAGCTAATGACAATTTTAAGGTAAAACCAGAACCTGTATTGAAACTTACAGATACCCTGTATACGCCTGTAAAAAGTATTTTTCAAAATCAACATAATGCTTCTAACAATAATGTAGAAAACTTATCACCTTCCTGCAGTTCTTCATTTAAGCTTCAAAATAAAGAGAATGATTCATTTGACAGCTTTTTGGACGTCCCTTTATATGAAAGAATAAAGCTGCTGTCAGTAAATTTAACAAAGCAAAAGCAAAGTCAAAAACATTCTCTGACCAAATCTGAAGATTTGACTAGCAACACTAGTTATGTGAAGGGACATGTTTTGAATACTTTGGTTGATGCTTCATCTAAGAATAATCCGGAAAATTCAAAGTGTTTGGAATTTGAAGATTCTGATGATAGTTTTCTTGAAATACTGAAAAGTCAGGAGACACACTTCTTGAAATTCAATTCAAATGTTAAAAGGAAAAGTGTAATTTGTAACAGTGTTCAAAATGAATATCACTGTGCTACTCCTTTAGGAAATAAAACCAGCTCTTTGCATAACTATAATATCGATTCAAAATCTAAAATTTTTTTGACTCATTCACCTCAAAATTCTGCAAAAAGTTCTCATTTCTTAGAATTTAATGATACTGATGATAGTTTTCTTGACATCTTGAATAGCCAACAGCAATTTTATATAAAATCTAATTCAAAAATATGTAACAGTAGTTATATTCATACTGCTAATGATAGCAAATGTCATATAGGGTATGATAGAGATGTCATAAGAAAAGGTCAAGCAGGTAGCTTAAAGGAACCTAACTCTGTCAGAAAATATTGGTTGTGTGACTTTTCTAATAGTCAAAAAAATGAAAGTCCAAAACTGTTATATTCATTGAGCCAAAAGCCATCAAATAGTAAAAACATTTTAAAACATAATCCTTTGTTATGCAATCAAGTCCTCAATAGCACACCCTCTCTTAGATTAAATGAAATGACTCCAAAAAAGATTTCTTTTAAACTAAATATTTCATCATCACCAAATATATTTCAAGCCAGTTTATTAGCATCACCAGCTGCATTGCAGGGCAATTTATTAACTTCACCAACTACATTTCAGTGTAATATTTCAAATGTAATTTATTCACCTCTGATATTTGAATCTAGCAATGATTTGACTGATTCGTTTTTTTAATTGTGTATATTAATTTATTAGATAGTGTTTAAATAATTTGTAAACAAATTATTTTTAATAAACTCTAAATATTTATCTTTAAAATGTTGTGTTTACATAATACTTTTTTCTCCTGTTGCCAAAGAAGTAAAAAGGTAGCTATGCAGGCTCATAAATACCCGAATTCATAGATACTTAGATCAGGAAATAATGTGTTGGCAGTATGTGTATGTGTATTGTATTAATCAGGTATAATATTTATAGTATACACAAGTTGAGTGAAGAAGGGATGTTTTATACGGTTTCCTCAGGTTAAATTAATAACAGTAAGAACATATACCATAGAAAGTAGATTGTAGAATCATACGTCTTTAACTTTTCATTAAACTTAAGAATATCTTTTTGAAAATACAACAAGGCAAAAAAGTTAAAGTTAGCAAAAGACAGAAAGTACAAAAACAACACGAGCTGCTGAATGTAAATCATTTCTCACAAACAGACAACCAGTTGCTCTGGTGAGTGACACATTCCTCCTGGTACAGAAACATCATTTCAACTCTAAATACCATTTATAAACAAAATTATCATAGCAGTGTTAAATCATGCAAAAGAACACTAAAATACAACAAACAGAATACAAAATTATTCTCGAACAGATGCACAGAAACATTGATACAAATCAGGAACTTAATTATATTTGAAGCAAAGAACAAAGTTATAGGTAACTAAATCATTGATCTTTAAATAAGGTCACACTTTTTACCATTTTGAACATCATTGTAAATTAGAAATGTATTCATTGGACCATCTTTTCAAAAAATTTTGAAACAACTTCTGAACAAGCTTCCAGCATTGTGAAATGGGGATTTCTTGATTAAGTAAACTTTTCAGGTAATATAGTTAGCAATGTTCCAATTAAAAAAGGGCCCCGTGTAAAAACAGAAAATTCTGAATGATCTTTAGGCATTGGGCATAATGATTATGAATTTAAACAGGCTTTAATTTGAGCTATCAATGTTTTAATTCTTCGTGTGTCAAAATTTGTGCATCTGCTGCTGTATGTCAGAATCAAAACTAATAAATTCTAATGAACAACGTCCATGAATATATTCAAACTTTAACATCAAAACATGTATTCAGTGTGACAATAGTATCCACAAGTTAATTTAATATGCGCATTAACATTTTAAAATAACAAATTACAGTTCATAAATAACCGTCTGGTTAACAGAAAGCCATTTCCTTTTCGTTTAATAATACTCTTATGCAGTATCAATAAATCAGATTTCAGTAAAGGAATTTTACATTTGCTTTAAGAAGCAGCTTATAATAAATAATCAGAGTTTAAGAGAACTTTAAACTCAGATTAAACGATAATATAAACGCAAATTAAACTTACCTTATTATCCGTTGAAAGTGTCCAGTCGATGATTCGATGTGCTAGCAGCGGGGCATGACAATTTTAATTCCAGAATTGGTTTCCAGAATTTTGACCAGTATTCCACACCTGAAAAGAGACTGAGTCGATCTCCAGCAACTAAAGTTAAATTCGGGAAGAGCTTGTTAAAGCCAAACAGAAATTCTAAACATTTTGCTGCGCCATTTTGGATTCAAGTTTAGTTGGGCGCCAATGTGAGGTAGCCGTTCCTCAATAGACACTAATGCCAGCTAGCTTTAAAAGGATTTATTAACAGAGCACACAGGAACGGTTACAAATAAAGAAATATACATAAAAATGAAACATTATACAAATGGAACATCAAACAGTTGAATAACAGAGACATAGTAAACTAACATCATGGCGGCTGGAGTTCGACTGACGTTTTTTCATATCGCCACGAGATGGCATTTAAATAAAATAGTTCGGTTACAGTTCATGAGTTCATGGCGTGAATAAAATAGTTCAGTTACACTTAAATAGGTCTGTTACAGCACTAAATTATTAAAAAATTTATTATTCATTCCAGTTCCTTATCAGCAGCAATAAAATTGGTACTGCAATCACTATGAAATTCTATCGGCTTTCGTTCAAGATGCAGCAAATTATTCTGATGTTAGATTACCAGCTAATTCAAAATTAGTAGGAAAACACATAAACAAATTTAGCTTTTATTGGTTTTACCCCTCAAAACCCATTGTCAGGGTTTAACTTGAAAGGGTCCAGCGTAATCATTTCCAACATTGCAGAAAGCCTTTGGAATGTCTCTACATCAGTAGTTGTCAACCTTTTGACTAGCATTTACCATCTAAACAAAAATCTTTGTATTAAATATGCACACGTAAAAAATATTAGATTAAAAATTGGTTATGATTTTAATTATCAAAATTTAAGTTATAAGACTTTAATTCAAAAATTTAGTATGAAATTTGGGTCTGCTTAAGACACATCAATTTCTTTATGTCTGGTCTTATTTCACTTAACTTTAACTGTAAATTAGAATCCACTTATAGTTTTGTTCTGTGTTTATTTTTCAAATATAACATGGAAGAAAACCCTTGTTCTCACAAATAGGTTGTGCAAAAAGGCAATAAAAATTTGATAGCTTTATTTGAAATACCTGTAAATTATTTGGGGGGGGAGAATCAGCCAAAAGTTAACAAGTGTGTTATTTTTTAACAGGAAATTTCTATCAATTGATCTTTTTTTTGGGGGGAGATTTTTTTAAAATTTTAATTGTAAAATATTTGTTTCTTTGCATACCACCAGTGCTACGCATATCACCGGTTGAGAATCGCTGCTCTAGATTATGGTAAGTCCAACATTATTTGAGTACATGTTTTAGCATGTATATGATGGCATTCACACACTTCCAAATCTGCTATTTTATAATTGACTTATATCCAGTATCCAGTATTCTCATCTAATCACTGATTGCAGTAACAGAGGTTCAGCATGAAGAAGAGATTTATGAAAATAGTTTACTAAAATCTGTGTTATGTGTTATTTCTTGTGCTATAAAATAGGGTGGGATCTGTCTTGTTTGATGTTAACTTATCTTCCTTCGATACATAGAAGTTCATTCTTAAAAATAAAAGGACTTAAAGAAAGTATCTTGCTATTTGAGTTTAACAGTTGGCTCTCCTACAGAAGATTATATTCATTCAAAAGCTCATCCTTTTGAACAATTCTAACAATTGCATAATTGCATAGCTTTCTCTGATATGTCACAGAAGCAATGAAGTTCTACATTTGTAGCTTTAGGCAAAGATACGTTTCTAGGAATGTGAATGCATTGAAATTTGCTATATCTTTACAGTAGGTTTTTCATCTTTAATTGATTTCCTCGGATAAGGAATTATCCAATAAAACTTTTAATTTCCATATATCTTGCAGTGACTATGAATGGTGCTAACCAATCAAGATTTTTAAAACAGAATACAAAATCATTCTTTTAATAGAGTCATTCTGTTTAGCCCTTAAGCAGCTTTCTGCCCATCTCTCTCCTCTTGATAAGGCTGTAATTTTATCAGACTCGAGTTCTGCTCTTGAAGCCTTAGCAAGTAACATAGGAAAACAAAGTGCTCATGTCCCGAGCTGGAGGGAGCTGTTGAGCAGAATTCAGACAAAGGTTGCTTTCCAGTGGGTGCCATCACATTGTGGCCTTTGGGGAAATGAGATGGCGGACCTCTCATCTCAAAAAAGGGTATAGATATTCTCCAAAAGTCTTCTGGTGACCTATCTCTTCACTCTGCTAAACTTGAAATCAGTAGGATTTATAAAAAATCCTTTTGGAATGCCGCTGTTAGTGCTACTGAAAGTTATGGAGGGTGCTATTAAAAGCTGACTGTGTCTCGGACTCTCCTCGTGCTACTGCTGTGGCTGAGTTTAGACTATTAACTGGGCATGACTGCCTTGGTGCTCATTTGTTTAATTTTAATCTTACTGCCTTACCTTTATGTGCTTTGTGTGATTCTGGACAAGTCATGGATGCAGCTCATCTGGGCATGTGCTCTACACTTAAAGAGTTTGGACTGTATTGTAAAGATGTATTGGTGAGCTCATTGCCTAATGACTTGATGGTCAATGTCCAGGTATTTGATAAATAAATTAACAGAAGGCTGACTGTTCTCATGATTTTCAAAGTCACAAGTAAACTTATCTTGCATTGTATACCGTTCTAAACCTAATAATTTTATTGATTTCATACCAATGACTGCATATGAAGAATTAGTGTTCTGAGCTTTCAGTGCAGTTTCTAAAAATCGAGCGATCATCTATGCAACATTTGTGCAATTGAAAACCATCCTTTCTATTCACTCAGTTGGGAAATTTACTCTATTGCATTATCTACTATGTCTGAACTAAATAAGATGTCATCAAAATAACAATTTTGTAATATTATATCAGCTGCTTTTGGGAATTTACCCCTTTCATCAATTGTTAGGTGTTTGAGCATGCAAATGGCCAGATATGAATCTGAAGTAATGCAGTATATAACCATGCACAAAATGTAAGGTTTAACGGCCCTCAACAGATCATCTCTCCACAATATATTTTCATAATCGAGATATTCTTCATGAATTTGAACTCATTACGTTTTCAGTAAGTTACTAATAATGGTTCTGAGGTAGCATCTAAACTTCAAAAGAACAGCATATAAGTCATCTTGTATCTTGGAACCAAACATTTATAAGTGTATCATTAAGCAATATCCTAGATATAATTTTGGCACTAGCATTGAAAACAGTGCATAGTTTTGTGATAACACTTAAGTCTTTTAGCACATGGTGATGAGGTATAAAAAAATGCACATCGGATAATTCTTCCATGTATCCAAGTGCCAAATATTCAGACATACAATCTCTTTGTTGTTGGTACACTTCAGGATTTTTTAAGAGCTTTTGTTCTAGACTTAAGAAATTTGCAAAAAGCTGATTATCTGAAAATACCTAACATGTTTCTTTTACTGAATAATAACCATTTTTACTATAATTTTCCATGAAATAGACTTTATACAATTTTTCTTCTTTAGTTAAATGCTTTGAGATGGGAATTTGTTCTAAATCCCAAAATGGTTTTACTAACTGCTCAATATTTACATTTAGCATATTGACAAACTTGCTTGTAGTTTGGGAATTCAAAATTTGTAGTTTCAGCAATGACC